CACACACACACACACACACACACACACACACACACACACGTGACATACACACACTTTGTGTTTTGTGCGTTCGAGTGAGTGAGTGAGCGTTTACGTGCGTATGTGTATGCGTATGTGTGCGTGTGTGTGCGCGCGCGCAACGTACGCGGATGCAGTACGGGGGTACAGTATGGTATGTGTGTCCGTGCAGAGTAAAAAAAAAAGCATACAAGAAAGATGTCCGCCGCAAAGACCTTCATAATAAATATGAAAACACAGGGTACTTCAAAATTAAATTGATGAATGTAAGTCGATCAGCAAAGTAAAGACCACAGTGCGTGTGCTCCTACCACTTACGACAATACACCAAACAGCAACCTGATCAGGTTTCAGTATTTTTACTTCTCCAGAAAGATTTATTCCACAGCAATTGTTTTAACTAGGGACTCACGTCGTCTCGAGCTATAAAATCCATTTCAAACAAGGTAAACAAGTTGGGATCTCATAAAGAATTGTCTAAACAAGGAAAGTGGTGGCCTGGAGACTCAATGAAACAAGACCAATCGATTTAACAAGTGGAAACGGGTGATATTCAAGAAAGCTAGATTACAAAACGAAGTTTATTTTCTTGAGGAAAGGGGAGGAGTGTTTTGTTGGGGTTTTCTCAGAAGGAAGGAGGGGGTTGCTGTTGCTGGTTCAAGGGGGGGGGGGCGTCTTCTTTTTTCGGGGGAAGGGAGGGGACAGGGGTTGTTCTTGGGTCTGTTTTACTCTAAAAAGTCTTGCAAGCGCGTGTGGGCGTTTGCAAAGAACACATGCATGTACAAAGTTATATCTAAAAGGGTGTTTATGCGTGTGTTTGTGTGTGTGTGTGTTTGTGTGTGTGAAATGTCGTGTAGTGTGAATGTTTGTCAGTGTGTGTGCGTGTGTCCTCCCCTCCCTAAAAAAATAATCCTAATCTGGCAAGCTCCTAGTCGGACCGATACCGTTTCAGTGGTACCAATTCACGTCATAGAAACCTTGAATAACTCGATGCACACTGAAAACTACAATAGACGCTTATATCCTCCGAACTACGAGACAAGACTTTAAACGTTTTTTCTGTAATATTGTAAGTGGATGTAGAGGGTCTTAGTGTATACATAATTGTTGTGGAATGGTCTAAAAAAGCAACGTCCAACAACCGGAAAGAAGAAGAAGAAGAAGAAGAAGAAGAAGAAGAAGAAGAAGAAGAAGAAGAAGAA